CAAACTGGTCATCAAGTCACTGTTTTGTCATCCATTTCAGATAGCCAAAATTAATTTTGTTTTGCATCTTACCAATAAATTTAGTTTTTGATGAATTGACAAATAGGTAGTGGGAGCCCTGGGTCAAATGCGACATATACAACACAAGTAAAAAACATAATTGGTGGTGACCGAGGCATTTTTCAAAAATTTAAATAATGTTGTAATCTAGAAATGTAATACAAGTAGATCTAAATCTGTCATTTCTCGAAGGAACAGCTGGCAATAATGAAGACAAATCATATAACAAACTTTACCAAAATAAACGACAAACAATCGATAGAACACAAAAATCAATTTTCTAAAAACGCCCTGATCGTTCTCTACTACGGCTCCGATGATCTTTATCTTTACTACGACTACGAGATCGCCTTTTATCACGACTTCTGCTGCGGGACCGACGTGACCTCTCACGACTGCGAGACCTTGACTTGCGATCCCGAGAACGCGACCTCTTTTTTGTTCTGACACGTCTTCCATAGAGTTCTCGGCGGAGTTCACGAGATATAGGCTTTAAGTGCATGAAGTTACAGAATCCTCCCCTGGTACATTCACTGAAATAAACATCATTTTTGTTAAATTCTGAGAAAATAATCACTCCTTGATTCATGCGAACACTAGTGGGCGATTTATAATGGACCAAGAGAGAATGCTTCCTTTCGAGTCGAGCTGCTGTAAACAAGCTCCTATCAAAAAAGGGACAGTGGTTTTGGCCTTCCCATTGAGTCTGTGGCACACCAACACAGGGTACAGTGGATTAACAGTTTCTATTGAGTTTATGGCACACTCTCCGAAGGGACAGTCGATTTAGTCTCTCCTTTTAGTCTGTGGCACACTCACCCAGGGTACAGTGGATTCAGCCTTACCATGAAGTCTATGGCACACTCACAGAGGGTACAGTAGATTTGGTCTCCCTATTGAGTCTGTGGCACACCTCATTCAGGGTACAGTGGATTTGGCCTTCCCACTGAGTCTGTGGCACACTCACACAGGGTACAGTAGATTTGATCTCCCCCAGGGTACAGGCATCCTCCACCTATTTTTCGAAATACTGTTTTCAACTCAAGGTAAGTTTGGAAGACAGAATATAGTACCAATCATGGGTCTGATCCAACATCTACTTTGCTACCAGTGACTGGATGTTGCTAACAGTTAACCTGAACCAAGAATATAATAACTTACCCCATTTCATACTGTCGACAACAAGCTTCTCTAAAATCAGTCACTGGAGACAACTCTGCTCTGATTGGCTGACCATTAAACCAACGATTATTAAGATCATTCACAGCTTTCTCAGCATCTTCCTCATTACGAAACTAAATTGTATAAATTAAAGGGACACATTCTGTAAGTAAGATCCGCTTTCATTTAGGTGAGGCACTTGAATAACATGAATAAAAACCGAGCAGCAGAAAGCTTCAAAGAAATGGTACATTCACTCTGTGAATCAGGTTGTGGGTTGGATTCTTGTGTCTACCTAAGCCACTAAGTAGCAGTCTGTCAGCTGATATAGCTTCACTGTTTGATATGCATAATGAGAAAGGAATATCACATCAATCAGTCTAGTCATATTCAAGATAAAAAATATTTACTAAAAGGAGAAAAAAACGAAATTTAGACAAGCATTAGATATGTTTGGTAACTGGTCAATCAAAAGCAAAGAAAACTCAATTAATGCGACCTGCATGCCAATTGAGGGGGTAGTAGAAGTCAAAAATAGCAATTTTTACCAAAAATGACAAAAAAATTCATCAAAGAGTTTGAAGAGCTGAGCTACACTTATACCAAGTATTGAAGCAAGCGGACTTGCTGTTTTCAAGAAGTCAAAAATGTTAAGTTGAAAATTTTTTTTTCAACACCTTGAAATTATTCCCGCAAGTCGAATCAGTGACCTATTTTTCACTCTCCAGCCAATTTTAAAAGAAAAGGCCTGATTTACTTTGTAAAATGTGACAAAAGTTTTTTTACCTTAACATACACATTGCCTACGAGATGATCTCCAATGTTATCACATACATTCATTTCTTCAATTTCTCCATATTTGTCATCAAGTTCAGTGAACACCTCTTCAAAGAAATCATCAAAATGCTTCTGCATGTCCACATCACTCATGCCCTTAACTGGAAAACAAATAAACATGTGTATTCTATATGAAGCAATCAAACAGATAATTAAACAGTTTAGCACCGGGTTTGGGGTAAAAAAAACACAAAAAACACCAGCTTTTCATTTCCAGATTACAGAATGTGTTTGGGTAACAAGTGGTTTAAATTGTTGTTAAAGACTAAATTATAAACTGGAATATCACAGTTGGTTGTTGAACTTTTCAGAAATTTAAAAAATAAACTGATGTGAATGATTAAACAAATTGTTAGCCAAAGTAGTCTACTAAATAGATCAAATAATTTGCAGTACAGTAGAACGTCGATTATCCGAACTGTTGGGGGGACATGCTTTTTGTTCGGTTATGCAAACAGTTCGGATATGCGATCTTGTGTGGGCGTGCTCAAGTTTACAGGCTCACGACACACAAATTCTAACGCACATGACTGTAATGAAATCAAACAATAATACATGTAAAGTACGTCATTAAAAACATTTTTATTTAATCAGTAATACATTGTAATAAAAATGTTGCATGCTAATGTTAAAAAGTGTTTCAAAATGTCCGTAAAATGTAGCGAT